CCTAAATACACATGTCTATGAGCCATTGGTACTGTTCACCCAACAGTTCCAACAGTTCTTAGTGACACAGGAACTGTATTTGGAAAAAAAGAAAAGTAAAAAAAAAAAAAGAATCTTAAAACAAAAACAACAACATCTGACGGCAGTTAAGAAAATAAACGTGGTGTTCAGGTTCCACTTTTATCAACATCGGTTCTCTGGAGGTCAAGACTAAAGACACAGAAAATAAAGAAATAAAATAATAAAAAAAAATTCACAGAAATAAACCACAAGGAGTCAGAACAGAAGAGTCACAGCTTCAACAGACAGAAGGAGCAAATGGAGACCAGTGGGAGGGACGTGTATTTATAGGCAGAACACAGGTGGAACACATCAGTGATCACACAGGAGAACAGCTGACGGTGGTGGAGCTGATGATCAGAGAAGTGCTGGAGGGGCAACAAAAAAACAACCCAAAAAGAACACACCAAACACAAATCTATGTATATGTAATTAATCGGTTCATGGTACCGATGAAATAGGACTTGGAAATAGTTCATAGTTATGAACCAAATCATATTGAATAAATATATGTAGAAGTTAGAGAATAAGTCACAGAAATGACCTCAGTCAACATCCTCCTGTTTTACCCCCACTAGGGGCAGCAGGCCACTCAGAGTTCCCACAGTTTTAACTGCAAGTGAAGGCAGCAGTGTTGAAACTTGTCAGGGTGTGTGTGTGTGTCGACTCAGAGGCGAGTAAAGACACATTCATCTCGTGTCACATGACCTCAGTGCAGTGACGCAGTGACATGGTGGAACCACATGGAACCAGAACCTCCAGTCTTCTCCTCACCTGGTCATAAACACGCATCATCTTTTTAATACGTGAGGTTCAACATAAGGCACAGGGGTCAGCGCCCACTCAGAAGGACAGAAGGACTCGGACAGACGATTCTCAACGTTTATTGTTAACAAAACAAGACAAAGATCGACATGTGACCACAGTTTGATTACACCTCTGAGACCAGGGGCCACATTGTGGGCGAGTGGTTAGTCCTCCTGCCTTACAGCACATATAGGAAACCATGTGACCATGGGTCAGGGTCACAGAGGAGCCGGGACCAAACGGGCGGGGTCACAGCCTGGACAGTTCTGCAGTCCATCACAGGATCACAAACACAACATCCATTCACACTAACACATTCACACAAACACATTCACACTAACACATTCACACCTCTAGTCAGTTTAGAGTCAACAGTTAATCATGTTTTTGTGCTCTAACTGACTAACATTTTTCTGCAGGGCACGAACACTCACCACAGCGCCCCCATGTGGCTCCTGAAATAAGTGTCTATATTTATATATATATATAAAGTTATTAAGTTAATAAGTTGTTTGCTAACTATTACTGTTAGAAAACAGCAGGCAAATAAATTATGGATACACGTGACAGTGTATAACACTGGGGCAGATACATTTGACCACTGGGGTAAATACATTTAACCAATGGAGCAGATACATTTGACCACTAGGGTAAATACAGCAGCACAACCTGCCCCCCCCATCTCTCCGTCTGCTCTTCTTCTTCTTCTTCTTCTTCTTCTTCTGTGTGTTTGTGTCACAGCCTGGTGTGTTTGTTCATGTCCGTCTTCTTCTCCTCCTTCTGTTTCTCCATTTCTGAATCACCAGCCTCCAGTGACGGAGCTTCACTGTCTGTACCCGCTGCACCACCGCCCCGTAGCCTCTTGAAGCCCTGGTAGGCTTTAAAGAAAACACAGGCGGAGGTCAGGTGACTGAGTATTACTTCATAAACATTTAAGGTCTGACTTCTTCAACTGAAGTCGGAAGTGGACCAGATGTCTGGGTCAGAAGTGGACCAGAACATCTGGTGTTCTGGTCCACTTCCTACTTCACATATTTAATAATAAAACTGACAGTTTTATTATCAAATGTGACAGTGCTGACACGAGACAAAGCAGTAGTTAAAGTGAAGTACTGCAGTACAAATAAATTATACTGCTTCTTATCACTGTCAACAACCCTGACTGTTGTCCTTGACCTTGGTGCAGCCTAGCAGCCCTGCCCCCCCCCTCGCCTCCACCGCTCCCCCTGCTGATGACTGGCAGTCTTTGAAGTTTGTCACACTTTTATATCAGTTCATTAGAGTTGGCACAAGAGGGGGGGCGGGGGCAGGGTCCTGCCAGGACTGGGTTTTACAGCGGGTCAGAGTAGCGTTTTTAAAAACATGTAGTGAAATGAAGGAACAGCTGAGAACACAGAACGTTCTGTGACGTCTCACCTCCCACCGCCGAGACGGCTGCCACCAGCTGGAAGATGCTGTAGATGAGGGGGAAGGCGAACATCACCTCCAGTTCATCTGGGCTGAAGGACAACTGGATGATGGTGCTGCACAACTGGGAGTTCTGGAAACCAGTCTCCAGGGCGATGGTCCGACACCTGCAAAACAATGTCACAAACAATTCTCTGACCGCCTGTACCGTACTGTACCGTACTGTACTGTACCGTATTGTACTGCACCGTACTGTACTGTACTGTTAGGCAGCTGCTATATAGACTAGACTGAAGACTTCACCACAAGGGGGCAGCCTACCTGTGCCAGGGTTGACCTGTGAACCGGGCCAGGAGGAACCCCATGCTGAACCCGATGAAGGGGTAGATGGTGCCGATGATCCACAGGGAGGGGGCGATGACCCAGGAGGACTGGTAGAGGATTCCTCCCACCACAGCGATGATCACAATCAGACACACACCAGAAATGGAGCCCACCTGTGAGGTCACACAGAGGTCACACCGTCCAGAACTTAAATAAATATAACCAGTCAACAACTCAAAGGTTTAACGACAGAAGAGAAGCAGAAGATCCAGGTGTGAAAAGGGTGCCTTACCTTGAGAACCTTTTTGGCTAATTCTGGCTTCTTACTTTTAAAATACATTCCAAGGGCGATAGGAACGAGGAGACCCACCAGAGTGATCCCTGGACACAAGGAGTTCTACATCAGCACACTGTAGTACCAACACGTACCATAGTAGTATACCACGATACCATAGTAGTATACCACGATACCATAGTAGTGTACCACGATACCATAGTAGTATACCACGATACCATAGTAGTATACCACGATACCATAGTAGTGTACCACGATACCATAGTAGTATACCACGATACCATAGTAGTATACCATAATACCATAGTAGTATACCATGAAACTATAATACAGAGATGTTAAAAAAAACTATAATATATATGACAAATATATACAGGGTCAGGGTCAGGGTCAGGGTCAGGGTCAGGGTCAGGGTCAGGGTCAGGGTCCAGGTCTTCTCACCTATACTGTCAAAGGGAATCTGAATGGTGTCAGAAGAAGTCCAGGTGGAGGTGTAGATCCACAGACACAGGGGCATCATGCCCAGGGCCAGGATGGAGGAGCAGGCCGTCATACTGATGCTGAGGTGGAGATAGGGGTCAGGGTCAGGGTCAGAAAGGTCAAATCAACAAAGACTGGACCAAACAGGTGAGGACCTCCTCCTCAACAACAACAACAACAACAACGCCAACACTAACGATCATAAACTTCATCATTAGTACTTTCTAGGTAGTAATACTCTCTGAGAACAGCTACTGCAAATAAAATAGATAAATACATTTCTACTATATTGATCCCATATTTGGGAAATTGTTGTGTTAGCACCAAGCATGTGGTTCCTCTGGGAATCAAACCCAGGACTCTCTGCTCGAGGCAGGCGTGTTAACTGCTACACTATGGAACCGCCCTGTAGTTCTTTTTTTCTCCAGAGTACTGTGTCTGCCACTGCCTGGGGTACAGGCTCCACTCACCTCAGGTCCATGTCTCCATCCAGCCAATAGCAGATGACGTTGGAGCCGGAGCCCCCAGGACAGCAGCCCATGATGATGACGGCCACGGCCTGCACCGGCAGCACGTTGAAGGCCAGCGACAGGGCGAAGGCCGTGAAGGGCATGATGCCAAACTGGCACAGGAAGCCGATTATGATGCCCCAGGGTCTCCGGATGTGACCCCACAGCTTAGAGGCGTCCACGGTGCAGCCCATGGAGAACATGACCAGAGCTAGCATCACCGTTAGCCCGACGCTCAACACCAGGCTCAGCATTTCGTTGAAGTTACTGGGCGGTACCAGACAGTCGCTGCCGGAGCAGACGGCCGCAAAGACGCTGCAGGACGGAGGGAGCACGGCCGCAGACATGGTGGATGGATGGACGGATGGATGATGGATGGATGGAGGAGCTGTGGCTGTTCACTATCTCCAAATACCAGAGGAGAGGAGAAGTTCCCGGACGTTAGCTTGTCCCTCAGTGACAGAACTGGCAGCAGGGAGCAGATAATAAGTAGAAAAAGGATCAAAAATTAACCAGTGGTGGGGGGTGGAGGGTGGGGGGTTTATGGGATCAGTGTTCAGCAGCACATGTTCATAAAAAGACAACATCATTCTGAAAGTTATATGGAATTGCAGCACTTGATCCGACTTTATAACCATTGTCCTCTTTAAACTCTTTTTATGGGGCAGCTGTCAATAAAGTCAGGGAGAGCCGAGGATGCTGGGAGGAAACGGCCTGCAGGTACAAGCGCTTCATTGTGACGGGCTTGTAAAAACTGCAGCGTGTGACCTTCATCATTTAAACATTAAATCACACCGTGACGCAGCAGGAACCTCCGCTGTGAGGAGTCTTCTCTTCAGGTTCTTCAGCTGTCGTAGGTTTGGATCCAAAAGAAAAACCTGTTTCCCTGGATCTCCTCCTCCTGCACCTCCTCCTCCTCCTCAACTCAGGGGACGAATCCTTAACTTCAGAGCAGTTAAAGTTCAACTGTTTAGTGACCACAGACATTAGAATTCATATGTCAATGGTCTCTCACACCGTCAGACACTGGTCCATCTGAAGACCAGTGCCACATGTTGGACCATCTGTTGGAACATCACATGATCACAGACTCATGTTAACAGTTGTAAAAAAAACAAAAAAAAACAACTTTGGGCAGAACAGCGCCTCCAGCTGTGTGGCGCTGCTAACAACAGCTTAGCATTAGCCAACAGTAGCCAGTGAAAGGCAGTGCTGTTTGACAGGAACTGATGAATCAGTGAAGGAGTCCAGTTGATGGACATTATGGACACAGTACTTGTCACCACCAGAGAATGTCTCTGACTCATATATAAATATATATGACTATATATGTTGAAGGTGGAATATATAATATAAGAAGGAATTCATCCGACTTTGACCTGAGCTGTAACTTTAAACCATAAAGATTTCTGAGGTTTTGAACGTGCCTCTCGTGCATGTGCAGAGGAGGAAGTGACGGCGAGCCCCCGGGGGCGGAGCTTCAGAGAAACCATATCAGTTTAATGGATGTGCAGTAAAGGTTAGCTGTCTGTCAGTCATTATCTGAGCTGAGCTGACTGGAGATAAGGCTGCGGCGTGATAAGACCAGAGGGAGAAGGGTGAGGACACAGATGTCCCCCACACACATGTCCCGTCCCCTACGATGACACAAACAGAACAAAGACCCGAAGCAACCACAGACAGGACATCAAAGGTTTATTCATACAGGAGGGTAGAGTCACTGACCCCAGGCTGACCTCTGGTCACGTCTGACAAGTGTCGGTCAGCCGGACGCTGCCTGTCAGGTGACACATGAAACATCTCTGCAGGTAGATTCCCTGGAAGTGCAGGGAACTGTGAAGGAACAAAGAAGAAAAGAACCAGAGGAACGTTTGTAGGAATGGAAACGTCTGAGCAGGCGGCCCCTGATTGGCTGGAAGTCTCACCTGACCAGGAAGAGCTGAGGGAAGCAGCAGCTGGTCTGGGTCTTCACCACGTTCTGCAGGGTCAGTAGGTTGGTCAGCAGAGCTCCAGGTCCACACTTGTCTATTTTTGTCACCACTATCTGCAGAAAAAAAAAACATGCTGCTGATGTACTTCAAGTAGGCCTGTAGGAGTACTCTAAGTAGGACTGTACGTGTACTTCAAGTTGGCCTGTATCTGTATCTTCCTCAGCCTGGTTTTGCATTCTGGTGTAAAGTTACTAATAGTACTACTCAGGATACTTAACTCCAGTATTTCTTAATCCTAATCTTTAGTAGCCCCTGAACATGAATAATAGATGAAGGAGAGTACTACAGTGGTACTTCATTATGAGTACAGGGACAGGTTTTACTGTCGAACCCCAGCAGGAACCTAAAGTTCTGTGCGGTGCAGCAGACTGTCTCACCACGTAGGGATGCCTGATGTCCTCACACATCTCCATGGCGTCCAGGTCAGAGTCCTGAAGGCCGACGCCGCCGTCCACCAGCAGGAACGTCCGCACCAGACTGGAGTGACAAAAGTACAGCTGGATTATTCTGGAACTTCTGTCAGATTATCAACGTCAGCTCAGTGAGTCTTTGTACTCTAAATCTGAATATTACACAACATACAGAGTAGTACACATGTATCTGGACAAAACGTCTAGTACTACATGGTTCAGTACATGGAAAGTAGTGTGTCTTTGTACTCTAAATCAGAGTATTACACAACATAGTAGTACGAGTAGTACGCATGTATCTGGACAAATCGTCTAGTACTACATGGTTCAGTACATGGCCCCAGGACATAGACAGACTTCAGTCAAACACTTTCTGAAGGCAGATCTGTCCACGGACGAAGACGAAGACAAAGACGATGTCCTACTTCTTCCTGGTGTACAGGTACGGCGTCACCATCTCCACGAAGTCTTTGGGGGCCTTGTATCCATAGCCTGGCATGTCCACCATGGTGAAGGCTCGGCCCACTCTGTAGAAGTTCATCTTCTTGGTGTGACCCTGACAGGAAACAGTTCAAAATGACATCACAGCCTCCAGTGACGGAGGTTCAGTTGATGAACTAAAACCAAAGGGACAGTAAAAGTACTACTACTACAGTACACACGTACTGTACATATGAAATAGTACTTATAGTACAGTGGTACCATGTGTACAGCTACCATGACATTTGTCCTTCAAACACTAAATTATTCAAATATTACAGGTGCATATACCCCCACTGTGAAGGTCAAGTCAGCAGGGGGCGCTGCGACACTGACATTTATAAACAGAGCCGTCAAAAGGTACCAGTGACGTCACCGTCGCCATCTGTCAATCATAAAACCAGGCGGTTCAAAACAACACATACTGTATATTTAGAAAACCTGATCCACTTACTGGGGTTTTAGAGACCCTGACCTTGACCTCTGGGGTCAGGGCGAACAGCGCTCTGATCAGAGAAGATTTGCCAACGTTGCTGCGGCCGATGAAGCACACCTGAAATACAAAGACAGTTTTTCCTGCTCTGAAATTTAAGAGAGAGAGATTGTAGACGGTTTTTAATCATAATAATCCCCCTCCCCAAGAAAAAGTTTCATCTGGACTCTGCAACTAACTCCCCAGCAGGGGGCGGAGCTTTCCCTCACTCGGTGATTATTCACCAGCTCAGTGAGTTCTCCAGTGATAAGTCATAGTGCCACACCTCCAACCGCCCCGGCTACACTGTTCTGGTGTGGCCCAGATGAAGGCCGAGTCTGGGCCCATCCATCTCTTTAACAATGGATGGAGGTGGTGGATGCTGTCAGCCGGCTACAAATCCATCATCCTGGACCGAGCAGAGCCGCGGACTGGGATCTGACGTGGTATGCCAAAGAGACCATTACCACAGCCATCCATCCTGCAGCCTCCGCCCGACACCACCCACTGTACAATTTACAAGTTAGATGACTTGTTACACGCTGACAGCTCTGTCTTCATCAGGTGTGTATTTCTGGAGGGGTGAGGAGTGGGGGAGGGAGGGGGTGTAAAGATACTTTTTCAAACTGTGGCTGTATTTAGAGACAGGGAAGGCTCACGTTAACAACCCCTAGAGTCAGAGGAGTTTCACTGGGTTCATTATGGTTCCGTTCTAGGGATGTTTGATAATATCGGCCGACCGTTGCATAACTACTTAATATCTGTAAGAACCGTTATCTGGTTTTTATCAAATTGTTTTGGGGAAAACAGCTGTATGTGAAAGTAAGAGTGCCACTAGATGGCAGTATTGCAGCTCAATGTATTAATCTATTTTAATAATCAGGGGATTGTATGTAGGAATGCTGGTGTCAGCAACTCTATCAATCAATATTATCGGACCCTTAAAAAAAATTCTGTCCACTAGAGGGGGGCAGAGTAGAAAATAATTGAGAAACACTGCTTTGACCCATCACTTTAGTGAGCAGGTGACACTTAACTTCCTTAACCGCAAGGCCGCCACTGCCCCAATATATCGGTATGGTTGATATCGGAATCGGAAATTAAATGTTGACAATATCGACATTTCGGTTATGGTGAACACATGGTTTGGCTACAGCTGAAGATTAAACCAGGATGACGAACCAGACTTTATCATCTGATCACAGATTCTCAGATTCTCTTTTTTGTTGTTGCTCAGTTTAATCACTGAACAAATGTAAATAAAAACCTTCAAGGGTTGGACGTTATAGAGAAGACGGTCACCTCAGGCTGCTGCAGCGTGGGGGCGTGCTCCATCCTCTCTGCAGAAGTGTAGTACTCAATCCTGTGAGAGGGTGAGGAGCAGAAGATCTTCTCAGCTTTGACCATGTCCTCCACACTGGGATGGAAGAGCTGGAACGGCGTCCTGTCCACAGACCTGCGCAGTAGTACGGTTTGGAGAGATGCAGTGAAACCAATGAGTGTTAACACAGCTGAACAACACAGACACAGAACAACAAACCTGTCCAGGTACGGCTCCAGGACACTGAAGGGGTACAGCATGCCGCCAACTTTGTTTTGGGAGAGGTTTTTGGTTGAGTTGATGGAGGCCAGTTTGTGGACACTCCGACAGGAAGAAGTAAGACACTGAGCACCAGGCTGAAGCCAGGCTCCTCAGGACTTGGCAAAACATTTTTTTCTCCAGCTTGTTTCAGAGCTGCCTGTGTGAAGAAGAACCCTGTGAGATGACGTCAGATGTTCGTAGACAAGAGAGAGAGAGGAGGGAACGTCGAGGGGTCAGGGATGGGGAAAAAGACTGATGTCTACAGAGAGGCAGGAGGAGGCGATGAAATAAAACAGGATTCAAATGTTCTGAACACTTGGTGAACAATGAACGTAACGTTCTGAACCAAGTATTAATTTACTCTTTGATTGCTCCATTCATAACTGTAGCGCAAATGAAGCTGACGAAACAACGCGAGTCATAAACATGAACGTGTCAAATTTAAAATATAAAACGGTTTCATATAAATATCCATATTTTAGCGACTCACTGAGTGGTCTTCGTTTTCATCGTTTATAAACTTTATTTTTAAAGTCAGAATTCTATTTCCAGCAGCTACTATGCACTGTTGTTATGTGTGCATCACTGACTGGAGTCCGTCTGTTTCTCTGTGCATGTAAATGGTTCCGGCTTTAAAATAAAATATGGCAGGCGAGTCCCTACAGATTTAACAAAGTCACAAACACCAAAAACCAACAACAAACAGACCCATAAATACACCAACACTTATATTACATATTAACATATTAATAATACATACAGTGTGCTTACGATTTTTGCAATTATTGTAATCGTTCGTGTGTCAAACAAAATAAAATAACAGAGCACCGTCATCACCCAGTGGTGGAAAACAAAACTGCTGCTGTAATCAACAACGAAACTCATATTAAGATTAAATATGGACATTAAATATTAATTTTAAATGCAGTACACATGTACAGTACACATGTACAGTACACATGTACAGTACACAGTACAGAAGAGTTCCTCCACAGCAGTGCTGTCACCTCTACACCACAGAAACCTATTAAAAAATAATATTAATGTGAACGCAGCCCAAACTGTTGTAACTCTCTTTTGGAAGTACAGTTACTCAAGCTCAGCTTTTTTTTTTCTTCCTGTAAGGAAAGAGCTCTCCCCCTTGCCTCCCCCGTGACCCTTGACCCTGACAGACGTTTGTTTTATATGATCCGAGTCCAAACCTGAACCCATTTCATTCCATTGTCTTTCCTTCCATCTGCGTCAGCTCGGCCCCAGGTTATTATGTATAATTGATGTTTTTCTTTCCGTGTTTAGTGGCGTTACTTCCTCAGTGTAATCCACGTGTGGACGTCCATTATAGAAGCACTGTATGGAGGTTTCAAATGCAGTAACGCCTGAGGGTTTGGAGGTCGTCCACGTTCACCATGGTCGCCTTCACAGATTTCTCCTGACTTTGTTTTAAAGAGTAGATGGAGTATAAATACTGTATGTGTGTGTGTGTGTGTGTGTGTGTGTATTTCAGTGTTCCTAATGTGATCCATGGTTGATTAAACCTACACAGATGTCTCCTGCTCCTCGTATCCACAGGCACAAGGGTATTTCTGGCTGTTGTGTACTTACAGTATCCTTTACCCCCGACTGTTGAGGACTGTGATGTTGAGGTCAATTTTTTTTAAAGTGAATCAGGCCAAAAAAGATAAAAACAATCACCAAGTTATTATAAATTAAACAAAATAAAGTCTGGTCATCTGACTCAATATACAGATATACATGAAATATATTGATTGAGAGAGAACCCCCCCCCCCCACTAACCTGACTGGTCATCCCGCTCTAACATTCCGTCTCACCAATAATGTTCTCCATTGAACCAGAACCAGAGAAAACGCCGAGTCAGCGTCGGCGACTCTACAGGCCCGAACACAAAGTACAGAATAATGAACGATGAGCTGCTGCTCGCAGTCATCGAACATCCAGAAGGTCGTGGGACGTGTCCTTCTGTCTGCTGCACTTCTCCTCTAATCATCTCTCTCATGAATACAGCACAAACATCTTGGCAGCTGCTGTTGTGTGGAGGACAATAGAGCACGAGCTCCGAGCGCGTATCGATATTGATTTTGTTATAGCAGCCAAGAACAATGACTCCACTGGCATCAATACATCAGGAGAGGAGACTGGAGGAGGAGGAGGAGGAGGAGGAGGAGAAGGAGGAGAAGGAGCGACCTTGGCTGGAGGAGCAGTCGGTACAGGTACGGCTGCAGGAACCAGAACACAGTGAGAGAGCAAGGTTCAGTCAGACAGAGGGGAGACCAGGACACGTCTAGACGAGGTCCAGTCCAGGTCCTGGTCCAGTCCAGGTCCAGTTCCACCCGAGGCACAGATTAAAAACCACAGCTTTAGTTTCTGAGCTCAACTCCACAGATGAGTGAGTGGAAAATAAACGTGAGTTCAACAGAGTGACGGAGGGAGACGTCGACGCTCCGACGCTCCGGGCGTCTGAGTTATGACCTGAGGTCCTTGGGAAGTGACATGAGTGAAGGTGAGAAGGTTTCACCTCCGCTGAGTCAGAAAGACTGACTGTCTGACTGAAGGACACCGAGGAGGAAAGGAGCAGAACGAGAGAAATTAAGGCTGAAGGTGGCGCTGCTGCACACGTCTGGGTTTTTATATATATATATAGAGAGACCACATGATGGACACCGTGCTGTCCACATTCTCATCGGGTCTGTGATTGATGGGTCAGATCCTTTGTCCTTAGCTGCTACTCTCACCTCATCACTCCCCCGTCACCCGTCCTCCCCCCTTCATATCTGGGGGGGGGGACTGTGACGGATGCTTCGGTGTCCAGAACCTAGGACTGGCCCAGACAGAGGGGAGGCCCACGAGTGTTTATCATTCAGAGCCTGAGTCCACGGACATGGATGTCTGAACCCAACCCACTGCTCCACAGGCCGGCCCAGACCCGGTGTGTGTGAGTGCAGCTATTGGTTCCTGACTGGACCAGTAGCCAACAGGAAGACAGATGTCCTCTGTCTGAGGCTGTGGCGCGTTTGTCTCGCCTATGTGTGACCAGCAGGTGGCAGTAAAACATCTCGTATGGACGAGCAGGGTCGTTCAGAGTTGATGTCAGAGGCTGTGGGAGAGTTCACCCTGTTAGTCATTTATTTATTTATTTATTTTAATTTAAAAACACTAAATCTTAAATTTGGAATTTTACATTTCAATTCAAAATGTCAAATTTAAGCCATAAATGATAATAATATTACAATACTATTTTATAAATATGGTCTCAGTACTTGTCAGAATAACAAAGTACTTCAGTATTTTGGACAAAATACATCCTTGAACGTAAACAACACACACACACGTACGGTCAGACACTGAACCTGTGTGTGTGTGTGTGTGTGTGTTGTTTCCTTTACCAGAAATCCAGGCCATGTATTTTTGGAGATTGTTGAAGAGTACAAAGAAAACATGTTTTGTTTTTTTACTGCAGAAGTACTGCAGTACTGCTGATACACTGTACTTACCAATAGATATCGGACAGAACTATTACAGTTGAAGTACCAGGCTGTGTGTGTGTGTCATGAATAGATGGGCTGTTGTCATTGACCATGAGTGGGAGGGTCTGCAGGAGATCCAGCGATGTCATTCAGACGGGGGAAGCAGGGGGAGGAAGAGAGGGAGGTGAGTAAAAATGAACCTTTAAAGAAATTAAAAATGTTTCCCCGTGATATTCTGGTGAAATATTCACGTCGTTTTTACATTAAAGCTGAGCTTCAACAGGGTTTAATACTCACTCACTCCACTGGTCTGAGAGCAGACCGTCTGTTTCTGAAATTAAAATCCTGATGCATTAGCTTAGCATTAGCTTAGTGTTCACTCTGACTGCAAACCACCAAATATATTGGTTTCTCCAGGTTTTCTTTGGTGGGTCTGAACTACAGCCTGGTCCACTCTGGTCCACTCTGGTCCACTCTGTCCTGGACTCACTGAGTCTCCAGGCTCCAAAGAAAGACTCTAATCCAACATGTCAGATCCTGTTCTGGTTCTTCTGGTCCAGGTCACACACACATACATGGTCAGAGGTCACTGAGGTCCACTGAGGGGACGCTGCTGCTGCTGCTGGAGCTGTGAACGTCTCTGAGTGTGTGTGTGTGTGTGTGTGTGTGTGTGTGTCCTGGAGCTCTCAGCTCTGGGCCATCCTGTAAAAACGTGACGCCACCAGCAAAATATGGAAAACAAACTGACTCCAAACACGAAGAGGATTTAACGTCTTCACACCGTTTTTACACACAGTTTACCATCGATTACCATCGATTACCATCGATTACCATCGATTACCATCGATGAAGTTCATAATGTTAAACATTCACGCAGACAAATGTTTCATGTTGTTGTGTGTTTCAACAGCTTTCGTTCAGTTGTCGTTTTCCTTAATGGGTTAATGAAACACACACACCTCCTGGAGAATCACATCTGCCTTACAGCTACGACATGGGAGGTTCGATTCCGGCTCCACCTGCTGGTCTTTCTGTGAGGAGTTCTCCTGTGAGAGTAAGCAGGCTTAGATGAATCGGTGTGTGGGGCAGAGCAGACTTGGTGACCATCTCCACAGCTGCTGGTCATCAGCGTCTCAGGAACGTTCTCGTCCACACCAGGTGTCCAGCTTCAGATGCAGACCAGGTGGGGCCTGGACCACACTTTGTTGGTCCTGGGACCATAAATAGAACGGTTCCATCTTCATGTGTGAGCGGCGCTGAATTATTTAATCACTTCACTCCACCCTCTTTCCCCTCTCAGTGAAACACTTAATGGGTTTAGCAGATTGACGAGAAAGAGGAAAATCAGAAGGAGAAATCCCAGAGGAGGAGAGGAGGCAGAGCCAGATGTGGAGGAGCTGGGGAGGNNGGGGGGGGGGGGGGGGGGGGGGGGGGGGGGGGGAAGGGAGGCATGAGCTGGAGAAATGAAAAGGAAACTGATTAAATGCAGAGAAGCGGATCACTGTGGGCCTCAGGTTCTGCGGTTGCCAGTCAGTGAAATGAGCCACAGCCGCTGCTGCTAGCCTTGGCTAGCGCTGCCTGCTTCTCCTGGCTCCGCACCAACTGCCTCAACTGCAGAAGGAAAACACTGCTAATGTCCGTGTGACCCACGTCTGTGAGACCCACGTCTGTGTGACCCACGTCTGTGAGACCCACGTCTGTGAGACCCACATCTTATGATCCACAACAAACTTGGTCTCCAGACCCGTCCTGCCAGTCCCAACCTGGCATCGTGGATTTTTTCCACAAGTTTGAATTTGTTTGGTCCTGTTGGTGAGGAGGGTGAGGAGGGTGAGGAGGGTGAGGAGGAGGAGGAGAAAACGTCTGACTGTGGGAACTAGAACTGTTGACACTGGTCAGGAATGTGCCTTGTTATTACAGCAGTACTACAGTAACTGTTGTTGTTGTACTGCAGTTACTGTGATAGTTCTACCTCCAACCAAACACAGATTCGGGCGTTGAACCCTCGCCCTCCCTCTCTCTGTCTGTTCATCTTTTGTCAAATGTGTGAAAAACACGACGGGGGTTTAAGTTGGTCCTGGACCTGGACTCTGGATGGACCTCCATTAACATGGAGTCAATAGAC